CCTCCAGAGTTTAATAAAATAGGATGCTGCTATCTGTGCGGTGGGGGGAATCCTTGCGAGTTTTCTTAATTATTTCTGTCAGTTAATATATAACCGAACAATGTGTTCAGTCTTATATACAAATGATACTATAGCGGATCATCTGGTGCACGCAGACGCTCTTTTCACCCGCATCATGAAATCTGTGTCTTCACAGATCGCCGTTTAATCTTATCCGCGGATTAATTCCTATTATATTCAAACAGGGGGTGTTTGCGATATACCAACCCTAATGCTCATTTTGGTTGTCCAAAGACGCAACACGCTCAAAATAGGCGCTGTTTATCGCTCAGTCCATAGGACATGAAACTAGTGATATAAAAGTGGGGGAAATAAAGATGCATGCAGTGTTGCAGCAGGTGCCACGGATTTGCCGGAGAGGAGAGAGTAATAAACATGTGGAATGGAGCAGCTGGGCCAAATTGCGCTCTTCTCATTCAGAGCACAGCAGAAAGCCACGCCACTGGGGCCGAGGGTCAGGGTCGCCCCTATCATTAGTGAAGAAAGGTGCCATTTAGAGCAGCCTTTAAGCCTTGAAACACTGAATTGCGTGCAGCTGAATTGATCGGTGATTTAGAATGCATGTTTGTGCTGTTTTAGTCTTCCGCGACAAGCGCGCCATTGTTTCTTTCGGTGTTTTGAACGAATCGTTCTCGTTCACTCACGTGTGCTGATTTACATGTAATTCACTTAAGTTTTGGTTTCCTGCTTTTAAAGTTCGGTGTTTAGAACTAATCTTTTAAGAATCCTTCTCGGTCGCCCACATGTCCTTATTTACATTTTAGTGTCTTTTTTTAAGCCTTTCCTGCCTTTAAAATTTGACTATGGCACGAGCAAATGTCATTCGAACCCGAGATGTGAAGAAGCAAAATCATTGGTTGGACCTCCTGAACGAACACGCGCGTTTGAATGACCGAGTCGAGTTTTAAAGGGACAGTTCACCCAAAAATTAAGATTCTGTCATCATTTACTGTTGTTATAACCCGTATAAGCTTCTTTCTTCTGCTGAATACAAAAGAAGATATTTAGAAGAATGTTGGTAACCAGACAGTTGATGGCACCCATTCACTTTCTATAGTATTTTCTTTTTCCTACTATGGAAGTCAACGGCTACCGTCAACTGTTTGGTTACCAACATTCTTCAAAATATCTTCTTTTGTGTTCAGCAGAAGAAAGAAACTCATACAGGGTCGGAACAACTAGGGTGAGTATAAATCATAACAGCATTTTTGGGTGAACTGTCCCTGTGAACAAGACATGACACTGAATGAACTAAGATATCTTGTTCATTCACTTTATTCATCATGTAAGTCATGCATATGATGTTAAAACATTTATTTCTGGAGATTTTTCTTTTAATAGACTTGAACGCAGACTGTATTAGAGTATAATAGATATTTTATTATAATAAGAATAATAAGACTCGTTTTGTTTGTGAATGACCCAGGGTTTTAAAATAATCTGTTGAGTGAATGATTCAGTGACGCACTTATTGGACACCAAAAGACGTGCACAAATATCTAGGCTGTGACCAAAATCACAGGTATCTTAGGTACTTATTTTGAACAAATATTTACTACTAAAAAAGTAAGTTCTTTATAGTATGAGTTTGTGTAGTATGTGATTTCGGATGCAGCCCTACTAACAGAGGCACTGAACATTTCTGAACAAATCATTTTAGAATCAAGTTACTGAGTTTCCACAGGACTGGAAGCACACCTAAACAGAAGCTTTAAAGAACATTGATATGTAACCTCTTGTCCGTATCATTGAGAGCGTGTCTGTGTATTTAAGAAGCCCTGACAAAGGCGAATTCTGCCATTGCTCCTTTAACGCAGAGTCACTCTCTGAGTTGGCCTCTTTCTGCTGCTCGTGGTTGTCATGGTGTTTTCCGTGGTGTGTCATAAAGAAAAGAAAAAAAACGAGAGCCCGTAGCTCTCAAAGGCACTTTGACTCGTTTTGACATGAAGGAGAATCTAATTTTATTACTTGCTGCTGACTCTCAGGCACAAGTCGATTTTTTAATCTTCTGAAAAGAATAATACAATGAATGCACCACAAATGTTAAATGTATTTTGGTGGTATTGTTTTTTTATATATATATATATATATAATTAGGTTTGAGTGTGTCTCGCGGGCCAGCGTTATTCTTTCACCTTTGCTCTTGCTAAGAGCTTTCTGCTTGTTCTCTAATCACAAAGTTGAAGTTAAATCCTGCTTAACTGGAGCACAGAGTGCAGATGTGTCACCCGTGGATTACCGTGAAGGCATCCATTCCTATTTAATCTAAACTATGGATTTATGCCTGTCTCAGACAACTCGGCATCACTATGATGGATTTCAGCTGCATGACATGATTTTCTTGATTTGTTTACACTCATCCCTGTCTCCTTTGACTGTCTCGCAGTAGCACACCTATCACAGATCATTTATTAATCTCTTGTTCCTCTTGTAGTGTAATACTTTAAAGTGAACATTCACAGGAGCCAATCAGATAATAGTCTCTCCAACCCATCTGTAAATGATGGGTCAACTGTTTCGCTTTATTAATGTTGCCTTTCCCTTTAGAATGAGTGGCACCTGAGCCATCAAGGTTATAGAGGGGGTGGATTATTGAGGCTGTGCCATTTTTGAAGGCCGGAAAGTGTGGAGTCGGCTATACGGCCCGGGTTTATAGTGAGATTTTAAAGAGCCCTTTGCGCCTCGCGGTTCTGTTTATTTGGCTTGAAATTTGTAGAACGAGAAAAAGCGAGAGAGCGTTGGATGCACAGTAGTGCTGTTGTAGTCACTTTTTAGAGGAGGGCTGAAAGTTGATAAATAAGCGTTTTGTTCCGTGCCGGCGTGGGAGTGTGTGTGTAAGGGGCATTGGAAATGCTTTTACTGACAATGCCCTACAGCTTTCAAACTCTGATGACTGGCATCCTGCCTGTCTTTTTCTGGGTTGTTGTTGCTGCTGCTGCGCTGAGTTTTAGGAGGCAAATCAGATCTGCCTGCTTTGTTTATTTTGTGCTTGCTAAGAGAGAAGGGCAGATGTTAGAGGGGGAAGTGAGAGAGACAGAGTCAGAAGCTCGGCATGTTTAAAGGCTCCTCTTTTACTGACAGCAAACTCTTTCTCTTTTGCTCGCCTGCTCTTTGGCTCGCTCTCTCTCTCTCTCTCTCTCTCTCTCTGAGAGCGCGAGGTGAGTTTTAGTGCCCAATAAGAAACAGATGGAAGCCTCCTTTAAAGGAAGAAAACACCAGATTGAGATAAAGGTAAAGAGAGGAAAGTAAAAGAAAGGACACAGGCGAGAGCATGCGAGGCAAAAGGAGAATGGCAGATGTTTCTTACCTATTACTACAATATACCAAAACTGAAAACAAAAGTTATTATAGAGACGATGATTCTTCTGATAAAAGAACCCAAATTCTTTAAAACTGCAAATGGAAGGAACAATAGCTTCAAAAAGTATTTTGATATAAACAAATTGCCACATCAACTAAAAAAAAGTAAGGACCATTTTTGTTTAAAATGTATATAAATTAAAAAATGTGTTATATAGAAGTATATATAAAGATGAACTCTGATGTGTGTGTGTGTGTGCATATATATGCATATATAATATATTATTTTTATATATTTTTTTAAACATATTGAAAGAACTTTCACATAAATCATTTTTACTCAACGCACAAACATTTTTTATATGACTTTTAGGCATGACAGAGATATTCAAGATCTTTGTGATACAACACAAAGCTCTCTGATGTCCTCTGATCATCTCAAAAGCAAAGCTTGAAGGGTTAGGGTATGTTTTTATGTGTTTCCAACGTTGAAATCCACAGAAGATTTTCTCACGTAACTTTTAAGAGTTTGTTGCCTGCAGTACTGTTGACAGCTAAACAAAAGCGAGTTATGAACCGGGGTGTCAGCTGTGAGATTTCATGAACAATGGCTGATTTGTGCTCATTGATGAATATAATCATTATTTTAATACGCCCTGCATTTGATAGCACAAGCAAGGGGATCCGATTTTATTGGGACATTCTTTTATCTTTTTTATCATGCATGTCTATCATGTGTGTGCCAGAGGGGGGTTGGGTTGCTGGTTTATGGAGAGATGGACTATTACCCTGATGAAAAAAAAAAAAAAAAGAAAGGAGGAGGGGAAAAAAATCTGATTTATGGTTGATTCATTATTTACTGACCAAATTCCCTCCCCCAGCACGGTTCTGTCTTTGCGACCCCTCCCTTCTCTTACACTCCTGCCTGCTAAAAGCTCAATAAAAATGCACAAAAGTGATTGATTCTAATAGCAGACTGACAGAGCTTCCAGCTGGGGTGCTTTAGCATGCATATGCATGCGCGTATGTGCGAGTGTGAGGGTTTTTTTTTAGTTCTCGCCTCTCTTTAATTAGAAGTGCATAGGTCACATGTGTAAAAGGCCCAGCCCCCATCAGGACCTGTCAAACTGGCACTTCACACATATGACATTAAGCACCTTTCAGTCAACACATAAATGCATAGTGTTGTCAATATATTATATTAGTTAATGCAAATATCACTTTTTTTCTATAGTCTATATGTGGATCAGTGACAAGGCAACTGTTTATAGTGTAATTTACAACAGTTTTTAATTTCTGAATTAAAATGAACATATTTTTGGGGGGGGAGGCATGTCACTGTAAAAGTCTAGCTTGTGAGTGTGTGTCTTGCTGTTGGGACGGAGGGGGTTGTGTTTCGTGTGCTGAGGCTGCTGGTTTCAGATGCAGGTGGACAGGTGATGAGATGATCTGGCCGTTTCACTGCTGAATCAGTCCGTTACAGCGTTTCGAACCGAACACTCCTTTGGCCTCGCTCCGCAAAAACTCTTCCAACTGCCAGCGCAGATGCTGACGTGACTGTCTTTTACCTTCATTTTCATTTTTCTTTTTTTTCTTTTTCATTTATTGCTTTCTCTCTCTCTCCCTCTCTTCTCAAACAGAAAATGAGTACCGGGGGAAACTCCTGAACCAGCGCTGGACGCGAGGAGACAAGATCAGCCGCTGCCGGCCCTCTCTCAGACTGCAGAGCCGACCAATCAAAGTGAGTTGCTCGAGCCCCTCAGCCAATCGCCACGCGGAAACGTGGGCTTCCTGCCAAGTTGGCACAATTAGAGGCGAAAGAGGGCTATACATTTATGACATTCATCAGTTCTGTCTGTCAGCACACTATGAAAGGAAGTCAGCGTTGTATTACGGCGATGTGCGCAGTTCATGCCAGCTTGACCTAGAATGGGTTTTGGCAGAGCAACCTTACCCCCCCTCTGAATGAGCTGAGTTTTTAAAAAGTGTCCCGCCCCCCGTAATTAGGAAGAATTGGGCTGTTCGACTCAACCTAATTTCATTTTTAGAGCTTTCTTGCATTATTTAGGAAAACTGGAGAGGTTTGAAAGCAGGGGATGTCCTTGAGCTGCTTTTGTTTGCTATCTTTCATCAACATAAAAGAAAGTCTCTCTCTCTCTCTCTCTCTCTCTCTCTCTCTCTCTCTCTCTCTCTCTCTCTCTCTCTCTCTCTCTCTCTCTCTCTCTCTCTCTCTCTTATCCCCCCCCCCTCCCTTTCCTTTTTCTGCTTAGGTGTGTGTTTTTGGCTTTAAGTGGATGCATCCCTTTTTCCCCTCTTTCACTCTTTCTTCTACATGCTTTTTATTTGGAACAGACCACATTTCAACCATCTATCTCTTTCACTTCTGCATTGGGAAATTCACTGGAAGAGATTTCTAATGGGGGAGAGAGAAAAAAACAAGAGTAAGAGAGTCTTCGCTCTCTCCCGTGGGCCCATAAATGTGTTTTTTTTTTCTCCACTCTGATGGAAAGAGTTCATCTGAAGCGATTGATTTATCGATCTAATTTGAAATGTTTAAAGGGTTGCAGTTGCAGGCAGTGCTTTTAAGAGCATCCAATTAGATAATACCAAACTCCGACTGATCAGCGTCATCCAACTGTGTGCAAAGGAATCAGAGCCGAGCTTATTCTCAAGCCACCACAAGCTCTTAAAAGAAAACACACAAGAGAGACGAGGAACGCAAGTGTGCGTTTATACACACCCATACACATACATAAACCTCTCTCGGTTGTCGATCAGGCCGTGAGAGTGCATGTCAACTCCGCTCCCCTGATGGATGGCTCAGATCTCCTTGGCCTTCTTTAATTGGCCGATGCTTTCCGCAGGTAATTTTGGAGATGTCAGTAGTCCTGTCACTCCAGCAATGGTTGCCATGCCGGGCCTGGTTGCGTCCTCTTCTTGTAAATGCGAAAATGAATAAAAGGCTCATTTATGCGCACCGGAGGAGGAGGGGTGACCTTCTTTGTGAAGTCATTGCCCCCAGCCAGCAATTTACATAGAGCTGTCAGAAGAGCACGAAGGAGCGACTCCGTCCGCTTGTATGGAGAAGAGAGGGACACAATTAATAATGTAGCACACGGCCAGAAGGGATATGCACGGACGTTCTCCCACTCTTAAGCGGTAAAAGAAATGTTGGCTTTATCTTAGCGTTCGCATTTTTCTGCCAAAATCTTTCGCTCATTTCGCCGTCCCCATGCTCCTTTTCCAGTTCTCCCTCCTTCTCACAATCACTCTCATTCCTCATGCCAACAGCCGTAATTAAAAACGCAGGGGAAAGGACAGGTTTGAAAACATTAAAAGGCCTTTGAATGATATTACGAAAGAAAGATGACACTGTCTCGCTCATCACTAACACCTTCGCACGAACATGCAGATTTAATGAGGTGGAATTTGAAATATAAAAAAAGGAATGCAAACTCTGATGCGCTCACCTATTGGAAAGAGATGCGTAGCTATGGTTACACAAACATGAAAGCCGCGCGGGCTCCCTCACGGCCTGTTTGATTCATGTGTTGACACTGAGGAGACGGCAGTGTGAGACTAGAGGAAGCTGCAGTGGGTAAAGAATAAAACGACACGCATCTGCCCCTGGCTTTTGTGCTTGGGGTCAGAAAGTTACAAAGCTTGTTTCGAGAGATACAGAGAGGGCATAGAAGAGTCGCAGATGGGCGAACCGCATACGCGCTCGCACAAACACAACGCTCAGTGTTTGAGTCCGCCGTCTCTATTTGATCATCTATGTGAGAAAACTTTCCTCCCAGGCTGACAAGTTGAGCTCAGAGTATCGGCGCACAAAAAGCCGGCTTGTTGCTCAAGCACATGCGTGCTTGTGATCAAAACACCGCTGAGAGAGGAAGAGAGAGTCTGTGCACCTGTCTGCCCGGATACACTCACACACAGACACACACACACACAGCCAACTTTCATCGCTCCATACGCAAACTCCCTCAATTGCAACACAACACACTCATTATCCGCCCGTGCTGAAAAGTCGGCAATCAACAGGAAGTGGCACTGCCAGAGAGAGTGCGCAGGGATGAAAAAGAAAGAGAAAGGGAGCGTGTGAAAGAGAAACTCCTCTGTGAAAGTGCAGTGTGCCCTTGCCAGCTCCAGCGCTGTATTAAAGGCGGCAGCTGGGAGCGGGGTGAGCAGCGCTCACGGAGGGTCAAAAGGAGAGAGTTTCGTGGATTTTCAAGGATTCCGTTCCATTTAAATCGCAGTAAAGTAATCAAAGCTAATGGCGCCATTGTGCCGGCAGAAAAGATCCGATGGCTTTACAGTGAGCAGACTTCCCTGCGTCTGTGTGTGTGTGTGTGTGTGAGCGAGACTGAGAGGGATTGACACCTGCTCCTTTTGTGCCAGAAAGCGCAGCGAGTGTAGCGATCGGGGACTCTGTGCGGGAGGAATTACAGTGATTTGGAGTGCCTGTGTTTGTGTTATTTCTATCGCTGCGGTTAATATTGCTATTGTAATTAGCACTCAAGCTTGCCATGGGGCCGTGAACGCTCCTCTGGCAGATGCCATGCACTGCTGTCTCTCTCTGTCCGTCCAATCACATTTATTGTTCAGGGCCAGTCATTTATACGCTGATGATGGGTACATAAAGGTTAGGAAGGAGAAAACTACTAAATGTACTGCAATTTAACCGTTATTTTTATTTAATCTGTCTGTCATTTTTTCTGCCTATCCATCTGTCTTTTGTTCTGTCTGTCTGTCTGTCTGTCCGTCGTTCATTTTTCTATCAATCTATCTTTCTGTCTGTCTGTCTGTCTGTCTGTCTGTCTGTCTATCTATCTATCTATCTATCTATCTATCTATCTATCTATCTATCTATCTATCTATCTATCTATCTATCTATCTATCTATCTATCTATCTATCTATCTATCTGTCTGTCTGTCTGTCTGTCTGTCTGTCCGTCGTTCATTTTTCTATCCATCCATCTATCTATCTATCTGTCTGTCTGTCTGTCTGTCTGTCTGTCTGTCTATCTATCTATCTATCTATCTATCTATCTATCTATCTATCTATCTATCTATCTATCTATCTATCTATCTATCTATCTGTCTGTCTGTCTGTCTGTCTGTCTGTCTGTCTGTCTGTCTGTCCGTCGTTCATTTTTCTATCCATCCATCTATCTATCTGTCTGTCTGTCTGTCTGTCTGTCTGTCTGTCTGTCTGTCTGTCTGTCTGTCTGTCTGTCTGTCTGTCTGTCTGTCTGTCTATCTATCTATCTATCTATCTATCTATCTATCTATCTATCTATCTATCTATCTATCTATCTATCTATCTATCTATCTATCTATCTATCTATCTATCTATCTATCTATCTATCTATCTATCTGTCTGTCTGTCTGTCTGTCTGTCTGTCTGTCCGTCTTTCATTTTTATATCTATCTATCTATCTATCTATCTATCTATCTATCTATCTATCTATCTATCATCTATCTATCTATCTATCTATCTGTCTGTCTGTCTGTCTGTCTGTCTATCTATCTATCTGTCGTTCATTTTTCTATCCATCTATCTGTCTGTCTGTCTGTCTGTCTGTCTATATATCTATCTATCTGTCTGTCTGTCTGTCTGTCTGTCTGTCCGTCGTTCATTTTTCTGTCTGTCTATCTATCTATCTGTCTGTCTGTCTGTCTGTCTGTCTGTCTGTCTATCTATCTATCTGTCTGTCTGTCTGTCTGTCTGTCCGTCGTTCAATTTTCTGTCTGTCCGTCTTTCATTTATCTATCTATCTATCTATCTATCTATCTATCTATCTATCTATCTATCTATCTATCTATCTATCTATCTATCTATCTATCTGTCTGTCTGTCTATCCATCTATCTGTCTGTCGTTCATCCATCCATCCATCCATCCATCCATCCATTCTGTCTGTCTGTCTGTCTGTCTATCCGTCTGTCTGCCTATCTATCTATCTATCTATCTATCTATCTATCTATCTATCTATCTATCTATCTATCTATCTATCTCTGTCTGTTTTTTTCTGTCTTTTCTTTCTATCTGTCATTCTGGTGTTCTTTGTCTGTTTATCCATTTCTCTGTTGATCTATCTTTCTATCTTAGTGTTTGCAGTATAAAAGAGAAATAGTGCTCCCAGTGAGTATTTACACTATGGAAATGTGTTTTTATACATTATTCATGACTTCATTAACCTGAATGTATGGTTGTGTATGTATGACCCTGAGTGTGTGTGTGTGTGTGTTAGCTTCTATCTCTCTCTCTCTCTCTCTCTCTCTCTGTTTCTCCTCCATCTATCGTTGTAGTCTTAACTCTCTCCTTTTCTCTCTGACAGATGAGTTTGGATACTGACGACAAGCGCACTCGCACACGGTCCAAAGCAGGAAGAGGTCAGTGAACCCTCTCTCTCTTGCTCTCGCTCTCGCTCTGTCTTTCTCTTTTTCTCTCACCTCTAAAACTCATTTCTTTCACTGGTCAGCTGAGCATGTCTTATATGTTCACTCTAGGCATATCTAATATTATCTTCTCTCAAATAATCCTGCTCTTGAAGTCTCTAGAGGTCCTTTTGCTAGAAAATCCTATTCGCTATGTAGCATTCAGTAAGTTTAAACAGAGCTTTGTGAGTGAGAAGAGCATTCAACCAAATGGAATGTCGAAAGTTAAAGAAATTCTTTGAAATATTACAATTTCATATGCATGACCAGATTACCCGACTGTTTGTTTCTAGAGGAATGATCTGGGTTCAATAAAAGTTCAGCTCTATGGACAGCATCTGTGAATACTGTCAAATAACACCATCAGTAATTCTGACTCATCTCTCAGCTTATAAAAAAGTGTTTAATAATACGCATGCAATGAAAGTCTACAGGTTAAGGCATCCAGGCACGGTAAAGAAAATTAATTCAGACATACAAAAATGTGTGTTATTTGAGCTGTAAGTCATCCTTTTAGCAGAATGACCGTCAGATGAACTTCTGGTTATGAATTATTCATTTCTGTTGGTGGAGTTTCAATACAAAATGCAAAAGTTCCATAATATTGTACTTTGCGAAATTGTGGCGTCACATAAATTTCTTGTATCCTGCTGCAAATAATGCGAATGTTACCACTTTACATGGTCAAGTTGAAATGCTAAACACGTTAAACCCCAAACATTTCTTTAAAGCCCAAATTCTTCCAATCATTTCTTCCTTGCATGGTTTTTCTTTGACCGGTTTTATTGTTTTCAAATGAATTGATTAGAGAGAGGCTTTTTTTTTACCGTCGGCAGTTTTGCTCTGATTTCACCACTAAACTGAACTGGGACAATTAATCATATTTTCGTGCTGATTCGTGCATATTGTACTTTTTTTTTTTTTTTCATCATCAAGGCTCAATGTTCTGGCTGACTCAGGTGTTTGTGTATATGTATATGTATGTATGTATGTATGTATGTGTGTGTGTGTGTTTCTTCTTGGTAATGTAGTCATGAATGTTACTGCATATGGCCTCCTGGGGTCTGTATATATTTGTGATTTATTGATTGCGGTTCTATGCAATTATTTGCCGCTTTAGATTTTTCAGCTTATTTTTCTGTTCCTTGTCTTTCCCTCTGCAGTTCCCTCTGAGATTGTTGGACAGGAGCTGAGGTAAGACAGATTAGTTCTGTTAAGTTAAATAGGCCTTTTTTTTCTTCTGCAGCAATTTTTTTCTTTGTTTTTAAATCCATGTTTGATCATGTTTTGACATTATTTGATTCACAATGCACGCCGCTTTAAAAACAAAATCCATTTTAATGTAACAAACTCATTTTCAACAATAATTATCATCAACAAAATGACTGACAGCAATAGAAATCTAATAAATGAAAAGGTTATTTATGCATGGTCCTATTTGTTTGCCTGATAAGCATTTGTTTCAAATGGCTAGTGTCTGCTAGTTTGCACCAATAGGCTCAACAATACCAAATCTGTGTGTGAGGAAGGGATATGAAAGCCTCATATTCTCAGCTCATTTCACTGTCAAGTGCACTATGAAGTTTACAAGAGTGGAATTTATAACGGTATCAAACACACTCGCTAGCCGCCAGGGTCACTGAAGCTGCTCACGGCCATTTCTGTCACAGATCTTAAATAGAGCTCTGCTCAAAAGATGACCGAAAGATGCTTTCATACTGCAGTAGAACAGAATTATAAATGCTTCAAGACATGATATGCCATGTAACTGGGTTTGTTAGCGATATATATATATATATATATATATATATATATATATATAACAAAAAAGACCTGGTGACCTGCCCCAGAAAAATCATCGGCAAGAAAACTCATGACCAGTCTCTCGCGTATGGCCAATACCATAGAATCACCAAGAGTCGGGTACAACTGAAATGGTTAATATAATTTATTGGCTTAAATATATCTCATACAGGATATCTCATCTCGTATATGAGCAGAATATTGCACGGCTGGAAAATGCTCTCAGCCAATCAGATTAGAGAACCAGAACTAACTGTTGTAAATACTGTATATATAATGATATTACAAAGTCACATTTATCTGCCGATACCAATTTGACCAAAGCTATATTGTGCGTCTCTACTTTACTAATACCCAGATGGAATCTGCCAATTTTTTTTTTTGTTGCATTTTCTGCCTTAAACATGATGAGATGGTCAAAAGAAATATTACACACTTACTGGTAGCTGAAAGCTAAGTTTGTGAATGATGGGTGTTCCGATGCCTATGCACTGCCACAGCAACCATCTGTCATGATGCATATATCACCAAACTACACACACACACAGACAGAGATCATGTTTGATCAACACGTGAGCGTGACGATATGATTCGAGTTTAAATCTCAGCACTGTTTTGCTGGTAATAAATGAAAATGCCAATGAAGCAAATTGACAAAATACTAGGGATTCCTGCAAAAGACAGAAGGGATTTCATGAAACGCAAGAAGGGTAGCCGCAGGAAACGGAAATCAATCACGGCTCCATCTTATTGACGAAGCAATTATTTTGCTAAATTTGAAAATCTATGTGTGTTTGTTTCTTGCTGTCCGTGGAAATACGGCTCCTGATGAACTATTTAGCACACAACCACAACGAAATAACAAAAGCTATAAAGCATCTCTAATTTGACCCCCTCTATCTGTTCAGCTGCCCCACTCCAGGATGCAATGGCTCAGGCCATATCAGTGGCAAATATGCCCGACACAGAAGGTACGACAGATGACATGCCCGTGTGGTGCTCCGTAGCCCCTGATTCACCTCCCTCTGCGGCCACATAGCCTTTCCTGATCACAAACACTGTTCAGCCCGTAGATTAGATCATCTTAATCTTCATCTCTTCCTCTAATAATGACAATCTCCCTCTCTCTCTTACTCTCGCTTTCCCTAACAGAGGTCTTTAGGCAGGGTATTGATTATTGGAAAGATATTACAGTTATGTTTATTTACACATGTATACATTCAGGAAGACATTTGAGATGCTTCATGTTTATAGATCTATCTCCGCTGCCCGTCCGATAGCAAGGTTTTCTAGGTGAGGGCTTTATTGAATTCCAGCCTCCATAACTCCCTCCATTTTCTCTCTCTCTCTCTCTCTCTGTTTCTTATTTTTATTGTAGTATAATTAAGTGTTCCAGCCAACTGGCTTTGATTTATAAAGGCTTTTATCCAGCACACTGCCCCCTACAGATCAATTTCCAACATCCGTCCATTCCTCATCTGAGTTTTCTGACCATAGAGCATGTCATGCTTGGCTTGCATGTGTGTAGTTTGCACGCTTTCATTGTTTTTCCACTTTGTACTGTAAAAGTCCATCATCTTGTATTTCTCGTCAATTGTTCTCACTAATTCGTCTTCTCCCATAGTGCTTTGAGCTGCCCGTTGGCCAGAAAAAGGCGCCTACAGGAAGCAGAGTCAGAGCAACCCGCCTCCAAGAGGAAGTCCCACCCGCTGAAGCTGGCAATGGACGAAGGCTTCAATGCAGAGAGTGAGGGGAGCGGAGAAGAGACGGAGTTGAGGGAGGAAGAGGAGGAGGATGAAGAACAGGCAGCGCAGGCTGGTGATCAAGAGCGTGAGGAAGAGGAGCAAGAAGAAGAGGAGCAAGCGAAACACAACACAGAGAGCATTAATACAGAAGAAGAGGGTGGTGATGAAGGTGAGGAATAAAAACTGAATCCGAATATGTTCGTCAGTCTTGTTTGGGACAATAAATACAATTATGTTCATACACAGTGAATGAAAAACGCACTCTGTACCCGAAGTGTCTCCGATACATTTTTATGAGTCACAACCAGTGTTCTGAGAGTGAACTCTGTTGATTTGTGCCGTATTAAACCGAATTGCACATCATTGACATATGTATGACAAGCGCCGCATACTTTCTGGGTTATTCTTTGCTGTCAATGTTGGAGCTCCAAACTCTCTCAGATGACAGGAAATAAGCTGTTGAGCAGTAAGAAAGCGAGAGAGTATTCCTGTTAAATTTAGAAGAAAAGGAAAAAAACAGAACCCAGAGAGATTTTACTTATTACCGTAGAGTATAAAAAGCTGCAGGAGCTATCAAAAACAGTTTAGAATAAAAACCAAATCCTTTAAGATTCAATACAAAGTCTTGCAAAGAAATACTTTCTTTCTTCTGTGAAACACAAATGCCTCAGTGTTTTTTGTCCACACAATGAAAGACAACATTGGAAACCCACTGAATTTCATTATATGGACAAAAAAAAACCCAGAGACATTTTTCCAAAAAAACATTTTATGTTCCACAGAAGAAATAAAGTCATACAGGTTTGAGGTGTGAGTAAATGATGACAGAATTCTTATTTTTTTGGGTGAACTATCAATCCACGTCTGCTCCTATAGTATGTACGGGACAATTCGAGAGTCAAACCTCGACTGTAAACTGTATTCTTTAAAAATGACACATTTAAACATTTGCATCCTTCTTTCTGTCTCACACAGAGGAGTGTATCATCATTGAGGCATCCAGCACACACAAGCCCACGCTCTCATCCTCTGAGGATCTCTCCAACTATCAGCACATAGTGGCCAACTCAATGACCCACCTCAACAACAACAACAATGGTTCCGTATCGCCGCAACAACAACACCCCGTCACAGTGGAAACACAGGATAAAAGCCCTTTTAGGGAACCAGAGGAAGAAGAGAACGAAGAATATGAAACAGAGGAAACAAGGAACGAAGTAGGAGTTCTGGTGACTAGGGAGAATGGGGTGATGGGAAATACAGGTGAGATGGAAGATAAGGAAGACGACATGCGCACTGACACCCAGAAAGAGTCAGACCACCAGTATTTTACTGAGGAGATGCAAACACAAAAGGATGAAGAAGAAGATGATGATGAGGATGATGATGAGGGGCTGAGGTCTGAGATGCAAAAAGGAGAGGCATACATGGAGGAGTACGATGATGTTAGGTCTGAAGAGGAAGGGGAGAGAGAAGCCCCTTCGGTTATCACTGCCACTCAGGGATCCCACGTAAGGGAAGACTATGTTTCCCACAAACTCACTTTGCCAGAAAGTTACAGCTCCAGTAAGGCCGCCACATCATCTCCTGTGGTTATCGAAGTGCAGTCTGAGGAGTCGGAGAGGGATGCCGACGTGGACGGGAATGATGATGATGAAGATGGGGACGACGACAGCTTGTCTCAACGCTCAACGGTGGCGGACGAGTCCGAGATGTTCGACATAATGCGGGGGAACCTGGGGTTGCTGGAGCAGGCCATTGCTTTGAAAGCCCAACAGGTCAAAGCTCATCGGGAGCTCAGCCGCATTCCCGAACACCACCGTTTTTTTCCTCTCGACGACCGGACCGGCAAACACATGGAACATATCCGCAAGAGCTGCTTTGGAAAAGGTCAGATCTTTATCATTTTGAATTCGTAAATTCATTTGATTACATAGTCTTCACAACATTGTTTTGCAAAACCATTCTTACATGAACTGTCGGATCAATGCGACTATTTACGCTCGCATGGTTGAAGGAAGTCTTAACAAACTTTACATAAAACTATTTTTACATACATTGTTGCATGAAGTTATATAAAAATGGTGTGGCATAAAAAAACAATGTAAAGACATTGACTGTACAACCACGTGCTCATCAATTGAATTGAAGTTTATAAACAATTTGCATTGAAATGAATTTTTCTTACATTCATAGGAATTATGTGAAGACTTGTATAAATTGTACATAATCTTATGCAATTTATGAAAGGATACTTAGGCAAAGTCTTTACATTGTATTTTCATAGTTTTTTTATGGAAAAGCCATGTAAATTGTTGCATCAATGCGACTATTTACAAAAGTATGGTTATTTGAGTCTTTATGTAAAACATAAATTGTTGCATAAAGTTATTTAAATATGCTTTTACATAAAAATAATTCTTACAGAACCATTTTTGCAGTGATGCGACCATTTACATCACAATGATTTTATGTAAAAGTTATGTCAAGATGTCGCACAACCAATGGTGCTTTGAAGTTGAATTGATGTCCTTCAACAATTTGCACTGAAATTCATTCTAACATAAACGGATTCACGCAAAATACATACAGAAATTCTTTCTGCTAGTGTTTGAGGAATGAATATATATATATACACACTCTAATACAAGAAACTATTTCAGGAGTGCACTCAGAGTGCTATTTAAACATCGCCCACATATGCATTTTTCAACACACCCTACACAAGCGCTCAAATATCAACAAATTCTCATAAATAAACACCCACACATGATTAATCAGAAAGAAGATTAAAATGGCAAGCTCTCGCTCAGGCAAAGAACTGCAAGATTAATAATGGGGGAAGCAATCTGGAGAGTATAAATGGGTCAAATGAATTGGTTTCCATAGATAAACTCCAGCCTTAGTCTATAATTACTGAAGCACTTAGAAAGAGAGAGAGAGAGTGCGAGAGAGTTGAAGGGGAGAGAGGGTGTGTGTAATTAGATTGGTTTGGCACGTGTTTATTTGTTTATTGGTTTTGTTTGTGGTGTTGTTCTGCTCTCGGTTGGCACTGTGCCCGGTCCGTGTGGCGCTGGATTCAGCCGAGCGCTCGGTAGGGCTCCACACCCCCTCTATAACTGGCCTCCTCACGCTCCGACCAGTTTTAATTAGGAGGTGCATGTCTCGTTAACATTTCAACATTTAATTAAGGAGCCACTGGAGCGCACATGCAAGCTCTTTCTCTCTCGATGTCTCTCACTTTCTCTCCCTTTCCTTTTCTCTCTCTCTCTCTCTCTCTCTCTCCTCGTCTGTTTTTCATGTTTTTTTGGTTTTGCCTTTGTCCTTGCACCTTCGTTTCATTTACCTTGGACCCCACACACTCTTTCTCACTCTCCTCCTGTATAATATGGAGATGTGCTTTGCCAATGGTAAAGTCTGTTTAATGAGCTCCGTTTTTTCAGTAGATAGTCCAATAAACCTCAGCGCACCCTCACCGAAGATAATAATCCTGAATGGAAACATCCACCTGCCTGCACGCATAATGACTGTAATTATCACCGTAAATGTGCCCTCTCATGGGCCCAAAGGCAACTTTACAACTTCCAGAGCATGGAACTGGAGAGATTGTTTGTGCGTAATGTGTGCGGTAATATGCACGTCTTTTGTATGTTTCTGTCCTGCGAGAAGTGATAATGACTTCAGATAAGGTTTGACTGACAGGTGTTTTGCTGCTCACAGAGAGTTCTAGATCAGAGAAGCGAGAGATCAAATGCCCAACCCCCGGGTGCGATGGAACGGGTCACGTGACCGGACTCTATCCCCACCACCGCAGTCTGTCAGGCTGCCCACACAAAGATCGGATCCCTCCAGAGAGTGAGTCAACATCAAACTACTGTTGAAACATCTTTTGATTGTGTGATAAGCTGCAGGAAAAGAGACAAAGCATCACTTTAACCTTGACTTTAGACGTCTAGTATTGTGTATGTCCTTTCCTAAACCTGTCACTTATTTCATAGTTCAAACTTTTTTCTTTTTTTTTTTTTGGTTCATTGCCTGACTCGTTATTTTTCTGCACTCTGATTGGTTGTTCTCAGTTTTGGCCATGCATGAGAATGTCTTAAAGTGCCCAACACCGGGATGCACTGGTCAGGGTCATGTCAACAGCAACCGCAACACACACCGCAGGTACAGAGTCTCCTATTTCAGAATCCTAGATCCCCAGATGTACTTTTACTATCTTTATGGGTACATTTGATCCACATATTGACATTTATACACTCTTAAAAATAAAGGTTCCAATGGAATAGAAGAACCATTCCCATTGTAAAGAATCTTTTGTACAATGGAAATGTTCCATGGATGTTAAAGGTTCGGTCACACTTTATTTCAATAGTCCACTTTAGACATTCTACTAACTATAAGCAACTACATGTCAACTAACTGTCATTAGAGTATTAGTAGACTGTCTGCTTAATATCTGCTACCACTTTATATTGATGGTCCCCAACAGATATTCAACTGACTATAAGTAACTTGGCAACTACAAGTCAACTTATTCTACTAACCCGAAGCCAAACACATAACCTGACAGTCTACTACAGTCTACTGATACTCTAATGAGAGTTAGTTGACATGTTTTGCAAAGTTACTTATAGTTAGTAGAATGTCTAAAGTGGACTATCGAAATAAAGTGGAACCAAAGGGGTGTCATGGAACCATCGATGCCAATAAGGAACCTTTGTTTTTAAGATTGTAGTGTATTTTCCTCACTCATTCTTTCACATCTCCTCTTCTGTCAGTTTGTCTGGATGTCCCATCGCCGCTGCCGAAAAGCTCACAAAGGGTCATGACAAGCAACACCTGCCCCAGCCCATGGGCGAGCACATCAAGGGCAGCCCAAACTCTGACCGTGTACTCAGGTGAGCCCTAAACCCCAATGAAACAAACCCAGGAACTTGAAACATCAGCATTTATTCCTATTTTGTCCCAGCAACAGCAAACTTACCCCATGTTCGGTCTCCTCCTGTCCTTCAGCTTCTATGTCAGCAGAATGTGTCCATCAAACACACCTGCTGTGGTTGGTTAGCACAGCTGTCATTCACTGCAGGGCTGAACTCACTTACCGCAGCATGATTGGTCAGGCATTTCGGAAAATCAGTTCTCCCTTTCCTTTGCCCTTCTAATAGAGCACAGCCTGCCATTTCATGCTGGGATCGGGCCTCAAACCTGCTAGTCTAATTACGCCACTGATAAGCTAATTATGGGACTTACAGGGTATGGAGTATTGGAAAAATAATTACTTTCCTTCAGGAAGCATGTCTGTGGTCAGACAAAGCAATGCGGCGGATTATGAAAATAATAAGCAGTCCTCTCTTATTAGTGTTATTCTGATTTAAATGAGCGTCAGTTCACTGAGAAAGCCCATTAAGGGAAGATGTCGACAATGAAAAGTCACCAGAGAGACCTCTGACGGCTCCGCATGCCACCCCTGCTAATGGGATGCACTGACTAATGAAGAGACAGGAAGCAGAGGCTAATATACTTTACATGCCATTGTCACGCAGATCATAACACGCGTTGGTGTTTGCGTGCGTGTTTTTCCTTCAAACCGTGTCTGGTTTACGCCTGAAATCCGTTAATGATGTTAAATACAGAACACAGTGTCATAGACCGCAATGACACGCACACCAATATGCCAGCATTCTTTTGCTCGTTTCCATAACCTAGCAAGCCGCCGACTGCCTACTTTTAAAACAACATCCTGACCATCATGGAAGCAGCACTCGGCACCGTATATTGGACTTCAGTGGAGTTTGACCTAAGTGCTTTTCAAGGAAAGTCAGTTTGCTCAGCGGCCATATTTGTGTATGCGAGACCAATGCCTACCCACTTGACATTAGCATGTCGCTTAGCTAATAGCTTGAATATTCTAATACAAACTATATTGCACACACAGATATTGACTATAAGTTATAATGTAAAGGACACATAAGACGCTGCCTTAGCATTTGACGTGAGATACTGCATAGGTAGCAGTTGCCTTTAATAGCCTTTGAATCTGGAGCATTTAAAATGCCTTAAAATCCAGCCTCAGTGGCAACCTACTAGGTCCTGGAACATGTCTTTTCAGAGTTTTTCTTCAGAACAGAGAAACGGCCGCAAGGGCTCATGGTTCTTCAGGAAAAGAAGTCGGTTTTAGGGCTTCAATTCCATGCTATACGATATGCTAATGTGCTCAGTGCTGATAAGACACTATTTAATCCTCTTCTCCTTCAGTCACCCTGCTTTCAAACCTCTCTCTTTCTCTCTCTCTCTCTCTCTCTCTCTCTCTCATTTTCTCTTTTACAGGCTATTTATCTGTGGAACTTTTCCTTCCTTTTCCTTTTTTCGCTGTATCTCTGGCTCATTGTCAGTCTTTCAATTCCGCTTCTCTTCTGCTGTCTAATTCCAGCCCACTCTTTCACTCTTGATCTTTTATGCTCACTTACACTTATCCTTTTATGCTTCTTTTTTCTTCACTGCAGGGATATTGATTCTTTTGTAGAGGAAGAAAATGACAGAACCTCTCTCTCTCTCTCTCTCGCTACCCATTTTTATTCAGGCCCATGTGTTTTGTGAAGCAGTTGGAGATTCCTCCGCACGGCAGCTACAGGCCCAGCCTCGTCCCCGCCACACCACGCGCTAATCTGGCCAAGGAACTGGAGAAGTACTCCAAGGTGTCCTTCGATTATGCAAGCTTCGACGTGCAGGTGTTTGGCAAGCGCATGCTCGCCCCAAAGATGCACACCAGCGAAACTTCACCCAAAGCCTTCAAATGTGAGCAGGATTAGTCATGCTTTATGAACGCCATGTAAAATACACTTCTTGCAGTGCAGAGATGTGTGTAAATTGTGTGCTTTGTGAATAGTATGGCTAAGCTTCAAGATTCTTTACTCGTCATACAGCGAGGAAGGGTCATCAAACATAATGGTCCGTCATTAATAGGTAACTATGCAGGAAGTAATGCAGGACAAATGAGTAGCACTACATTAACATTTCAGCCACTGTTATTACCTAATACGGAAACAAGATTAACTAATCAGAATGTCAAATTTAGGACTGAGATAGTTCCTTATTAGGTAATCAATAATTACTGAATGAGATTAGCCTAGTTAACTTTTTCCCGCCATTGACAGAATTTTCCAGCTTTCCGTGTTATTACTGTTCTACGGCAGGGAGCGCTATTATGCATCTTCTGAAATAGTATTGAATCTCCAGATCAAAAAAGGAACAGAAACAGGCGATAAAAGCATTGCTTATGCACGTTGTAATCTTTGGGGGGAAAAAACGTGATTTTCTCAGCGTTTTGTTCAATATGTTGCTTTTTTTATTAAACGTACCCACAATCAAGTGTTGATTAAAAAAATGCATGAAGCTAGAATAAAAGGCTAATCTCATTCAGTAATCATTAATTACCTAATAAGGAACTATCTCAGTCCTAAATTTGATATTACTTCCATATTAGTTAATAGTAGCACATATAGTGTTAAAGGGATACTCCACTTTTTTTGGAAATAGGCTCATTTTACAACTCCCCCAGAGTTAAACTGTTGAGGTTTACCGTTTTTGAATCCATTCAGCCGATCTCCGGTTCTGGCGGTACCACTTTTAGCATAGCTTAGCATACATCATTAAAGTGGACAAGACCATTAGCATTTCTCCAAAAAAAAATGACCAAAGAGTTTCGATATTTTTCCTATTTAAAACTTGACTCTTCTGTAGTTACATCGTGCACTAAGACCGACGGAAAATGTAAAGTTGCGATTTTCTAGGCTAGGAACTATACTCTCATTCCTGCGTAATAATCAAGAAACTTTACTGCCGTACATGAGTGCAGCAGGCGCAATGATATGACGCAGCGCCTGAAAATAGTCCCCAGCTCCGTAGCCTATTTTCAGGCGCTGCGTATAGAGTATAGTTCCATATCAGCCTAGAAAATCGCAACTTTACATTTTCCTTCGGTCTTAGTGCACGATGTAACTACAGAAGAGTCAAGTTTTAAATAGGAAAAATATCGAAACACTTTGGTCATTTTTTTTTGAGAAATGCTAATGGTCTTGTCCACTTCAATGATGTATGCTAAAAGTGGTACCGTCAGACCCGGAGATCGGCTGAATGGATTCAAAAACGGTAAAACTCAACAGTTTAACTCTGGGGGAGTTGTAAAATGAGACTATTTCCAAAAAAAGTGGAGTATCCCTTTAAATGTAGTATGTGTCCTGCATTACTTCCTACATAGGTACGTATTAATGACGGGCCATTATTTTAAAGTGTTATCGCGGTAAGTGAGTTTAGTAGAGTGTTCTTCAATGGAAGGATCAACTCTTTACTATTAACTAGTGTACTATTCTCTTTTGCCCTCAGCCAAACCTCCATTCCCCAGGGCCTCCCCCCCAAGTCCCAGCTTGCACGTAGGTTATGGAAAAAGCACCTCCAGTGGCTATGATTATTCCCATGATGCCGAAGCTGCCCACATGGCTGCCACTGCGATCCTCAACCTGTCCACACGCTGCTGGGAGAGACCAGAGAACCTCAGCATCAGACACCCAGATAAGGTACAGAACAATCTCATATAACGCAGACTTTTAACCAATCACAGTTCTTTTTGTTTTTGACGTGTCAGCTTTACAGAAAATACTTAAATGGTTTCTAGAAAAAAAACATGCAGACAAATTTTCAAGAAGGGTTTTCTGTACAGTCAATCATGGACCGATCAACTGTTTTAGTTCAACTGGTTTGGGGGAAAGTCATGCTCAATTTGTCATCAGAATTTCTGCGTAAAAGTAAAAAAAATAAAAAATAATGTATAGATGCTCAGAAAACTAACTAAAAAAAGAAGTTCTACTATACGATAGGATACTGTTTACTTCTATTGTTTACTAGGATAACTAGCTTATTTACTAGAGACAGCACTCAGCTAAAACAGTTGGCAAACATTAGCCAGCACATTGCCAATACATAGAGACTGAGTGTTGGGTAGTAACCAACTAAAAGTAGTGATGCTAACTAAACATTTTTAGTAGCTGTTTTGATTATGAAGAAGCTGTAACAAGCTAATTTTTCGTAGCTTGACAAAACGCATGTGCCTTGCAACCAAGCTAGTTTTTGAGGCAATAATCAGACATTTTTTCTGAAGTAGTGTTAGGAATTCTTTTTAGCAATTTGGTTCAGTGAACTGACTCAAAAAAACAATTCACAAATTCATCTTTGATCTGAGTCTTTGATCAGCCGTTTTCTCAGAAGTCCCTATAAAGAATTCTACATCTTTTTGTAGTGAAATAAAATGTAGTTTAATACTGCTGTTTTTGATTAATTTGTTTGAATGAGGGTGTTTTCTCGTCTTATAAGCTGCATTTAGTTTAGTATGTGTTCAAATGTAGTGCTGTCACCCCAATTAAGATCCTTGTTGTTTCTGTTGTGGCAGATCTACTTTAGATAGCTTAACTACTTAGCTTAGCAAGCTACGGTTTCAAACTAGTTTCCACAACATCGCTAACTACACATACCATGTTCAGATGTTTAGTAGTTTTTAAGAGTGAGCATCTATTAAGTGAATAAAGTATAAAGTCTGTCTCCGATTGGGGATTGATCTTCAGCAGAGTTTGTATCAGATGAATGTAGCGTTGGCGTGAATGCGTTTGCTTGCTGTTGAGATCCTATTGCGTCATCTCACCTCCCTTTCATCTGTCCCTCCGTTCGTTTCATCCTTGTCTCCTCTTCATGTTGTTATGGCATTAAGTTGATAGTGAGCTCCCTAGATAGGGCAGGACCTGGTTGCTCCATGTTATTTTATTTAATATTTCCATGGATAATGCTAATGAAGGCATCACTCTCTGTCTCATTCCCTCAATTTCCTCTCCCTTTTTTTCTTTCTTTTCTTTCCTTGTCCCTTTTCACACCCAAAAATATAAGCTATCAGCCTCTTTTTTTTTCTCCCCCTCCTCCATCAGAGAACTCTAGGATCTATACTGTAATTGGAGAAGCTCTGTCCTCAATATTGTGATTTTTTTTTTTTTTTTAAGCTTTCTCCTCATCCCAGGGAGTGACTACTTCATCATTTTTCGATTTCCTGACATGTTTTTAGCAGAAGGGGATAAAAGGGGAAGATTAATGGGCAGAAAGGCCCAGTGGCTCAGCGCTAATCAGACTGGGACTGCTCTGGGATCAGTGCCTACTGTGTGTGCACATCTCCAACTTCATATGCACTCGCACAAATATGTAAACATGCCCATTTTAATACTAATCCATCCATCATCCGTCTACATCTGCACACATTGTGTGTTATAATAGGAACACATGTAATAGCTGTGTTACTTTGTTGTTAAGCTTAATTGTTTTTTATTCATTTTACTCAGATTGCATCATTTTACTTTTCTAAGCAATTGCATTGCAATTGTTACTTGGCAGTACCCACAACACTCTAGCAACCAAATAGAAATGTGCTAAACCACATAAAACACATTAGCAGCTGCATAGCAGCACCCTAGCAACCGCATAGAACACATTAGCAGCTGCATAGCAACACCCTAGCAACCACGTAGCAATGTGCTAAATCACATAAAACCCATTAGCAACTGCATAGCAACAGCACAGAACACATGAGCAGCTGCATAGCAACACCCTATCAACCACATAGCAATGTGCTAAACCACATTGAACACATTAGCAACTGCATAGCAACAGCACAGAACACATGAGCAGCTGCATAGCAACACCCTATCAACCACATAGCAATGTGCTAAACCACATTGAACACATTAGCAACTGCATAGCAACAGCCACATCAATGTACTAAAAAAAATATATAGACCACCTTATCAACTGCACAGAAATGCGTTTGCAAACACCCTAGCAACCACATAGCAAATTGCTAAAAAATACAGAACACCCTAGTTTCTGTAACGTAATGACAATCACCCACAATACCCGAACTTCCCCAATACTCATCATAATATGATTACAGAAAAATCGTTTTATATTATGCATTTTTATCACATCTTCACCCACAACGCACTGGCAACCACATAGCAACGCCTTGGCAAACACTCACAAAACCCACATAGAGATGTGCTAAAAAAAAAAAAATACAGAACACCATAGCCTTGTCAATAATCAACAAAACCCTAGCAACCACATAACATTGTGCAACAAAAAAACATACAGAACACCACAGCAACGCCTTGGCAACCACCTACAACATCCCAGCATTGTGAAAGCGAGTTTTGCACCACTCACACTTTTTTGTAAAATGTAAGAAAAGTTTTAGTTTTCTGTAATCACATAGGTTTTTATAGCATCTTTATCCACAACACCCTAGCAACCGTGCAGCAACGCATTGGAAACCATCCCAAACAAACCTAACAATGTGAATGCGAGTTTTGTACCACTCATTTTTGTTTTGTAAAAAAAAATGAATTCTGTAATAATATGCCTTTTTATCACAAGCCCAGTTATTAATTATAAATGCAACACATTATTTCTTTCTGTTGTAGAGTATGGAAATTGAGGTGGATGAGAACGGCACCTTGGACTTAAGCATGAAGAAGCCCATAAAGAGAGAATTGGGCATGCCTTGCACCAGCCCTGAAGTGCGTTCCCCTGATCTGTCTTCATCATCTTCATCATCATCCACATCTCTTCACCATGGCAACAGCAGCATCTCGCCCCACTCTTTACACACCTACAAACAAGAGGAGTGGGAGGGGCCTCTGGACTACACCAAACCCAATCGGCAGAGAGAGGAGGACCTAGAAGAGGTACACTTCCTGTCATTTAAATTAGGCCGGAAGAGCAGATCTATCATCAGTTGTGCAACCTGGTGTAATATACATTCGTATCTTTGCACAGATGGACCACAGCGCTCAGTCATTTGCTTCTTCCGACCCTGAGGATTGCGACATGATGCAGGACGCCCTGGAGGACAGGAAGTACCCCGGCGAGGTCACCACCCCCAGTTTCAAGGTCCGGTTCCAGCCCAAGGACACCAAGAAAGAGCTCCTGCTGTAAGTCACTTTTAGTTTGCATGCGTGTCTGTGCACATATTGATATTGGAATCGTTTCACTCAGTCAGGCTTTTTTGTGTTTGTCCCTTGCAGATGCCCCACTCCGGGCTGTGACGGCAGCGGACACATCACCGGAAACTATGCATCCCATCGCAGGTACATAGTGTTCAGGGTTCACCTCTCTGTCCTTCTTTTGCCTTCAGAGGGGAAATATCAAATAAAACAAGACATCACATTGATGTTATCTTTCTCTCGCTTAGCTCTCGCCTGCTCTTTGCTTTGGGACGTTCTGGGCTCTTTCGCTTTATCTTCTCCCCTCTCTTTTTTCCCTCCTTGTCTCTTTTCAACGTTTTTAGCCTGTCTGGGTGTCCTCTCGCTGATAAGAGTCTTCGGTCCCTCATGGCAGCACACACAGCTGAACTCAAGTATGTCTGCTCTACTTCTGCTCTTTTTTCCTTGTTCTTGTTCACTTGGGTCTGCTCAGCTAAATGCTGCTTTTACTCTTTTCTTTGTCATTTCTTTTTTTTTAAAGGCAGTACAGTACTCATGATTTAACTTAAGGTTGCTGTACGATTACAGTATTAAAGGTGCAGTGTTTCCTAAATACCCCTTTCCTTGTATGTCAGTCAAGCAAAAGTTTGTAGTCTGTATGATTTTTTAAAATATTTTTTATAGTCTCTTCCGCTCAGCAAGGCTGCATTTATTTGATCAGAAATACAGTAAAAACAGTATTATGAAATATGATTACAATTTTAAATAAGTGTTTTCTGTTTGAATATATTTTAAAATGTAATTTATTCCTGTGATGCAAAGCTGGATTTTCAGTAGCATTACTCCAGTCTTCAGTGTCACATGATCTTTCAGAAATCATTATAATATGATGGTCTGATGCTCAAGAAACACATTTTTATTATTATCAATGTTGAAAACATTTGTGTGGCTAAATATTTTTGTAGAAACTCTACTTGAGAAATATTTGATTAGAAAGTTAAAAGAACAGTGATTATTTGAAATAGAAATATTTTGTAGCAATATAATTGTCTGTAATGTCTTTTGATCCATTTAATAGGTCCTTGCAGAATAAAAGTATTCATTTCTTAATAAAATCTTACTGACCCCAAACTTTTGTGCAAGGTGGGCAATGTTGTGCCTGGCAGGCTGTAAAGCCAATATATATCATAACACACAATTTAATTTAAACATTGCTGCAATCAAATTAATATTTATTTTACTTAATAATTAATTTTAAAAAAATAAGTAACTGATTAAATACAAATGTAATAATTCATTGGGGAAAAAAGAGACTTGCTTCTGTCCTGTAATACTTTTTATCTAAAAAATCCAATTGAATTGAAATAACACTGAAATTTCACACTGCACCTGTTTTCGGACAAGTTTATTAGAGGTATTATAACCCATCACAATTTAAGTTTGACTTCACTTTCCCAGATGTCCAACTGCGGGATGTGATGGTTCAGGTCACATCACTGGCAACTACGCGTCTCACAGAAGGTATGGCCCGATGAACAAGCTCTCCATATCATACATATCAATACATACACGGGAGGACAGAGAAGTTTAGTGACAGTTGTATATTAGACACACACGTGTATGCCACACTTCATTTATTACCCGTCCCCATTATTGAATAATTCTTTAGATAGGAAACTGACCCCAGATCTTGTGCAGTTTTCTTAATGCACTCAATGGCAGCATCTCTGTTTATCTAAAAGCTTGCTGAGGTCACTGTTTCCTAACCAGGCGCGAGGCATCAAGCAGTAAATCACGTCTTCCATGTTAATTAGTGCAAAAAGACATTTTGTAGGCCATGTGCTTCATATTTGTCACGTTGTGCACTCAGTGGCCCCGCCCACATTGAATTCTCACTGGTCCTACTTTACAAAGCTGTTGAGAGATTCAGGTAAATTGGGCCACTTTTCGCCATCTCAATGACGAAAAATGTTCCAGTTTACCTAAAATCACCTCACATTAGATATCAAATATTTTCAGATTGGCTATGATTTTGTCGCATTTTTGTAGCATTTCACTTTCAGTGAGATAAATGGCTGGAAACTCATTGCATTGCGCCTGGTAAGGATACGGTGTATGCTTGCATTTTTGTTAATATTTTGAGTTTGGTTTCTTCTACATTGCTTTGGGTCAGTAGTGCTGGATCCTTGTTGTTCTGAGTTTCTGGCTCCTCTGATCATGAGGTGCATACTCTCTATTTTCAGTTTGTCTGGGTGTCCACGGGCCAAGAAAGGTGGAATAAAAACAACTCCCATCAAGGACGACAAGGAGGACTCCGAGCTCTTAAAGTTCGTACTGCATAGAAAGCCAAAGGCTTTTCCCCATTTCTTTTATGCTACTGTACGGTAAAAAAGGACACTTTTTAGGCGGGAATATTGTAAGGGAATTATTGGATAATAGGTTTGTCCAACCACACAGTCATTTAACAACAGTGTAAAGCAGTTTAGAATAGCCTTCTTCATTCAGACAGATGTGATTTAATCAAGCATTTCCAGCTAGAACCACTTGTGATCCCAAAATTCTGTGTTCTACTTTGTTAAATATCACCTTGGCAACCTTCCAAATAACTTGCTCTACATGAGCTTATGAGCCCCGCATGGCCAACTAGTGCAAGTACTGTTCAGATTTCTTTGGGGAAAAAGGCCTTGTGTGTTTTATTCAATTGTGCAACTTCTAAAAGCAAGGAGACAAAGACACCCAGTTATACTGCTGAGGAAATAAAATCTGTGAACAATATATTACAGCACAGATGGCTCACGGGGTATTAAAATATTGGTCTATGTTTTTCTTAGTAAGTCAGTGCAGTGTGTGGGTTTTTGTCTTCTCGTTTTTTTGCGACTGCCAAGCGTAGGAGCTTTTTATCCTCATAATTCCACTCCAGTCAATGAGCAGCCGGCATATGGCGGCACTCAAGCTCCCCGATGTGTAAAAAAACTCTTTTTTTTAGTTTATTTCAATGTTGTAATATTCACAGTCTCTGTTGGGCAAAGTATGTAGCTAAATATTGCCCTCTTTACAAAACTGAATAGAGACTCGAGTGAGACAGAGAGTAAACAGATGGGAACTGAAGTCAATAGCAAGGTGATATTTCTGATGGGATAAATGCTCTTACGAGTTCTAACCAAACTCATCTGTTTTATCCCCATTATGTTTTTCCTTCTCTCACAGATGCCCAGTGCCAGGTTGTGACAGCCTGGGTCACATCAGCGGGAAGTATGCCACTCACCGCAGTGCGTATGGATGCCCGCTGGCGGCCAGGCGGCAGAAGGAGGGTTTGTTGAATGGGTCTCCATTCTCCTGGAAGGCTTTTAAGACAGAAGGCCCCACCTGTCCCACGCCGGGATGTGACGGATCGGGACACGCCAACGGCAGCTTCCTCACCCACCGCAGGTAATTAAGGAGAAAATATGGGTTTGGCTGCTACGTTAAATTTGTGTCAACCAGTGGCGTGATTTTGGGTGGGAAACCTGTCATTATCTTTGCAATTCAAACTAAAGGTGCCGCCACATTAAAACAACTTTGTCATAGACAAAGTTGGCAATTGTGCAGCAATGCACGCTAAACGGTTTACTCAGAGATCACTTTGATTAAACCAGGATTAGGCCGTAGTTCAATTAGGACATTTAAGTAGCTTTTATAAACGTCTTATTAAAAAAACATTACTGGTGTGCATCTTGAGACAAAACAATGGATCTGACATATTTTAAAATATGTCAGTGCAAGTTGCTTTTATAGTTAAAAGAGCTCAAACATGCATTTTAGTCTGGGACTAGGCTTAAACCTTGTCTTCGAAACTGGGGGATTGAGTTTTTGTGTTCAAAGTTAAACAAACTTGAACATTTTCACCTCCCTGAATTCAAAATTCCTGATTGCTTGTACAAAGCTAAATATGGCCACACCTTAAAGGGACAGTTCACCCAAAAATTTCAATTCTGTCATCATTCAGTCCCTCCAGTTTTCCGCGATTCTGCGATCGCTGAATACAACGCAAAATCAACAAAATGTCGCATTTTTTTGCGATCCTGCAAAATTCCAATTTAACCGCAAAATAATCACAAAAATGAAAAAAATACCTCACAAAACATTAAATTATAATCACCCAATTGAAATATCTCTAGTTAAAGTTTCAATGCATTTTTACGTGGGTACAGATGTTGCGCATGCGTGATGTCTGTGAGCGGTCTGTCAGAAACATGGCGAAAGAAAATGCGTCTCTCCTGCCCTCTCACATAAGCGCCCAGGTTTTCATTGGGCAGTACGGCAAACTTATTAACGCGTTTAACATGATTGAATGACATAACAAAAAGTATGATATGCTCGATGGTACTAAAAAGAATTATTAAAAGCGCAGTATATCGTGAAAGAGAACTAATTTCAGCCAGTCGAGTGACAGTCTGTCTCTGACTGCAAGTGTGTGTGTGTGTGTGACTGACTGACTGACTGCGTGTCACCGCCTGTCAGCCTAGTTAGAATATTGAATTCTCTTTAAAGCGCTTGAACAAATACACATAGCTACAATTACTTCAAAATATTAATCTTGGCAAGTATTTACGTAAAACAATCAGTAATAACTGATTGGGACGTTTGTCATTACTGTAGTAGGTCTTAAAGTGACAGTAACCTAATTTACTTGCTGTTGTCAGTGTTGTTAATGTTAATCAAGCAACAACAATAGCCTACAGCACAATTAAAAAAAAAGAATTTGATTAGACCAAATAAACAAGCTTTATGCATTTTGTTTGTGATTTGTGTCATGTATGACTATTGTGCATCTGACATAATACTATTATGGTAAATGTGATGTCCTAGTTATAAAATATAAAAATCGCAAATTTTTTCACAAATTTCTGGAAATTACCACCACAAAATCAGTCATTTTGATCGCAAAAATCACACAAAAAAATCGTGAAATCCTGGAGGGACTGATCATTTTGATCATTTCGTCCGTCCATTGAAAGCCCAGGTAACAAAAAAATGAAAATGTCATAAAAAGATTGTTAAAAGAATCAATATGAATCAAGCAGTTTAATCCAAGTCTTGCGAAGAGACACAATCATATTCTATGATGAACAGATTAAATTTAAGCTGTGATTAAACAATGATCAACACATGCGTATGCACATCACATATGGCAAATATATATGCAGAGAACCAATGAGGTGTGTTTTAGCGCTCGACACACACAAGTCAAGTCACCTTTATTTATATAGCACTTTATACAATACAGATTGTTTCAAAGCAGCTTCACAGTGATAAGAAAACTATGCATTTCGGCTGTTGTTCAGCTGAAGTCAGTTCAGTGTTGATTCAGTTCAGCTGTAAAGATCATCAATTATTCATTTAATGTAAAAAGAAATGAAAAGACAAAAAAAATGTTTACCAAATCTATGCGCTCTATGTGTTTATATGTGAATAAAAACCTAAATGAAATATGTTCATCATAGAAAGCAATTGTATCTCTTCACAAGATTTGGATTAAACTACTCATTAAACTATTCCTTTAATAGCACAGACATGGCACACTCTACATTTAGGTTTAAGGGTATTGGCCAAGTCTGAGTCATTATAGGATTGCTCATGAAGCAATTGTTTTGTGATGACTGATGATGAATCGATTGTGTTTGGCCCCAGTCTCTCAGGCTGTCCCAGAGCCTCCCTCAACAAGAAGAAAGCCAAGTTCCCTGGAGAAGAGTATCTCAGCACTAAGTTCAGAGCAAGTGACGGTGAGACATCCCACATTTTCTCCTACATTTTACCTCCATCATCTCTTCTGATGTCATATTTTGTGGACACTCAAGATGACAAAAGTGTTCTTTCTCTTTACAGTCTTAGACAACGATGAAGACATCAAGCAGCTTAATAAAGAAATCAATGAGCTCAATGAATCCAACAATGAGATGGAGGCAGATATGGTCAACCTTCAAACACAGGTTAGCCATAAAACTCTTAACAATTTAAAAGAACATAGATCGTACACTAAAGATCACATATTATGTTGTGATATAATTTATAACATGGTATTACTATAGTAAAACCATGGTATTCTTTAGAAATATTATTCCCATGCCTTTTAATAAATTCTTTTGGAGCAGTAATTTTCAGTGTGCGGACTTCACACTTCTTTATTTGTTTATATCACTTAGTTGTCCTGCACCTGAGCCCAATTTCGGTGTTTGGGATGTGAACACCATTTTTGTATTTTTTATTCTTTAGAAATATACCTTGGATTATCATGTAAATAGCATTGCTTATGAATATGCTAGTCATTCGACTTCATGATTTAAATACAGTACCATTCAAAAGTTTGGGGTCAGTATGAAAAAAAGAAGAAAAAAAAGATTTGATCCTCATCAAGGATGCATTAATTTGAACAAAAGAGACAAACGATTTCTATTTCAAAGGAAATGCTGTTCTTTTGAACATTCTATTCATCAAAGAATCCTGAAAAAATGTTTCAGTTTCATATTTTTTCAACATTGATAATAATAATAAGTGTGACACTGAAGACTGGAGTAATGATGCTGAAAATTCAGCTTTACCAACACAGAAATAAATTACATATTTAAATAGAAAACAGTTATTTTAAATTCTAATAACAACTCATAATATTACTGTTTTTTTTACCGTGTTTTTGATCAAATAAATGCAGCCTTGGTGAGCATTGGAGATTTCTCTCAAAAACATTTTTTTTAAAATCTTGAAAAGTAATGTATAAACGCTCCAACTGGTGTAACCAAAATAATCCAACTAGCTGACTAGCAATCAATTGTATGTTTACAATGTGAAAAAGTTGCGACAAACATGCATTGCTAAAAGGAAATGTCACTTATGGGATGGGAAGTTGTTCTCATCAGTTTTTGTGGTGCTTTAGATCACATCTATGGAGAAGAACCTGAAGAACATCGAGCAGGAGAATAAGGTGATTGAAGAACAGAACGAGGCGCTGTTCATGGAACTGTCTGGACTCAGTCAAGCTCTTATACGCAGTCTGGCCAACATCCGCCTGCCTCACATGGTGAGTTACACACACTCCTACAGCAGCTCCCAGAACTTTCCTCTCCTACATGATTTAGATTTAGCCATTTTAAAATTGCCACTCACAATTTCCGATTTACATTGCAGCAGGAGCCAATCACAGAGCAGAATTTTGAGAGCTACGTGAGCACCCTAACTGACATGTACACCAATAAGGACTGCTACCAGAACCCAGAGAACAAGGCCCTTCTAGAGACCATCAACAAGGCGGTGAAAGGCATCAAGGTCTGACTAGGCCAAAAGACAAGGATGAGGAACAGAAGCGTGGAAGAGAAATAGAAACGTAGAGCCATGGAAAGAGCGTACAAATGACACACAAAAAAAAGGGCATTCAGGTTTTTTTGAACAACAATCTACACCTCCATCCCAGGGAGCATTCTGTGAGTTCAAAAAGAGGTATATAATATATATTACTATAAGGACCAAAATCCACAAAAGCTGCTGGATTGGAAGGCGAAGATGGAACCAAATTCTTTATTTACAAAGAAAAGGAGACACAAACCTAGTTTTCTTTAGTTTTTGCTTTTACATTCAAACGGTGAGAGGTTTTGGAAGAAGAAGAGGAGGGGAGTAGAACCTCCAGAAGATGTGCTGCCCAGGCTTTAGGTGAAAGAGAGTCTTTTTTCCTCATTTGTGAGGATGCTGCTCTGCTCCTACGAAACAACAAATGCGACACTCCAAATACAAGTGATCCCTACGTGAGCCCCGGCAGAACAGACATATGCAGTATTTGCTCATCTTTCCTTCTTTTCCCGAAGAAAACGAAAGTGGTTTCGGGTCATGGGAAATGAGAGGATGTTGCGCTAACATACAAAGTGAGCGAAATGCGTGTGCAACCTTATCAGTGCCATGCGGTTGACTCTGTAAATCCCACCTGTTGAAACACTACTTTCTTTATCTCAGCATCCATTTTATTGTTTATTGGGTTGTTTTGTTTTAGAGCTACACACAGGCACATTGGCTTGCTCTCCTTTATTTGTAGTACTTACACTGTAGGAATATTTACCCAGCGTAGTCATATCTATTACATATGAACAATGAGTTGCACTTCATTTCAGTCAATTCAACATCAGACAAGATGTTGGATCGTCACTGATCTATAAATTATACGAAATTTGTCCAGACTCTACTGTAATTTATTTATATTTTGTTATAATTTAATTTTAACTGTACTATTTATTTGAATTCACCTATTTAAATATTCACAGCCCTTCTGTTTATAAAAGGTCATGAAAATGTGACAAGGAACTTGCCACATCAATATTTGGGAAGAGGGAGAAGAAAACAAAAAATGTACCACTAATTTTTATAACTTCGTTTCATTTGATGATAGAGTTTTATCCATAGAGTAGATTTTTTAAGTGCAAATATTTTTAACCAACGATGTTTTGATAATTTTGTATTTTCGTTTTCTCTTTCTCTCTACCTGTATATCTCTATCTCTTGCTGTCTCTATTTGCATTTTATTTTTTATTTCGAATTTCTAACACAGCTGAAGGAGAAGTATAATCTCTATTTATTATTTATTTAATATTTATGATGAAATTATGAACTGTGATACGGTTGTAATGTATATTTATTTTGTAACGTCTTCGTGTGTTTGTGAAGTCTTAGTAGTCTTGAAGAACCTTTGGCGATATAAAAATAAAGACAAAAAACATGTTTTGGACTACAGAATAAAACATGATGATTATCGAGGGTTTTCCTTATACCAGCATTACTTCCTATAGGAATGTAAAGAGAGAAAGAAAAGCAATTCCAGTACTGTGGAACCTACAGCTTTGACTCTTTCCCCGTCCGTCTCAACAGGAAGGAGACGTTCTTCTGGATCTTCTTGTGCTTGTTTTTTTATTTTATTTTATTTTTTATACCTCCTCAAGCTCTCAGTAGTGGCCAAAAACTGTTTCCCCTGAACGATCCTAATGAATTGCAAATGGATTATTTTTGCTTTCTTGCTAAACTTATCTTTATTGGACCATGGGAAGCGGGCGGGCGGGCGTTTTTGTGGCGAGGGCACAGAAGACGAATACCAACCATCCTGACAGAAACTCTTGAACCACAATGTCCTTACTCGACTAGTATCAAACAAGCATACACCCGTGTAGCCTTATACTAGATTTTTATTTCTTCGATGCACAAAGTGCCACTGACCTGTGCTTTCATTACCAACTCCGCCCATTCAGCGCCCACACTACCCTCGGGTCATGTGACCGTGGCCTAAGTGGGGATTGTTACAGATGCCTTTATTCCTTTGCCGTGATGGCCATACACAATATATTCATTCTGTATTTAAAAGAAAAAAGACAAAAAAAACTATATATAGTATATAAACATACATATATTTTTACAGTGTAATTGTTAACTCTTTTGTTTCTCTTATAATAGCTAAACAGAAACAATATCTTTCCAAAAGCTGTGAGTACTACTATCCATAGAAGACTAAATAATATATATATATATAAAAAAAGACAGACCCAGTTTACTGTGGTTGCAGGATACGATGTGTTTTTTTTTTTTTGTAATATGTAAACGTACATTTGTAAAGCGAAGAATACGAGGATGTCTGTAGAGTTTCCTATTTTCTGGTCCAAACTCACTGGGCCTCTGTATGTGTGTCAGCCGCATTAATGGGGCAATGGTTAACGGATTAGTCTTAGGCTTTTAATCGTTTAGACGCATTGTAGTGTGCTGAAAGTTCTCCTCGGTGGATCTGTCTTTAGTATTGTATGGTGTTGTGCAGTTCTGGTGGGACACGCCACACTAGATACGTGTGTAAAATGCCAATCATCGCAATGACAACTGTATGACTCATAATAGCGAGTCGTGAAATGAACATTGTGCCTCTATTCAGCTGGTCGTTTTGTTAGATAGTACACATGCGCTCATGTCGTTCATTTGCTATTATGGCAGCAATATTGTGATGGACAGAACATGTGTGCACTTTTCAAAAATCTTGAATGCCAACTAATGACCTTTCAACTAAAAGGATTTTCTTTGTGCGCTTGGGTGTGTTAGCGGATTCTTTTTTTATTTTATAGTTTTTTTTTTTAAAAAAGGTACAAATGGCTAACGACAGAATTGAGATAAAATATCGCAAATGTCTTTTGACTTGTTTGTTGTTGTTTAATGTGAATCTGTATCTTGTCTGAAATGTCACATGCCCTTTGACCGAAGTTTTTCAGTTTTTGCCTAGTCACCAATACGAAAGAAGGCCCTTGTCCATCCGAATTCGGCTGTACGATATCAGATCTGTTAGCCCTCAGCAACAAGCCCTTTGTTAAAATGAAAAAAGAGAAAGATGCGAAATGTGCTGGTATGAGCGTTTGCTTGGAGATTGTCATTGGCGTGCCCTCGCACACGGAGAAAGCGAGGGAGACGCTAGTTGCATAAATCTTTGTCCATTTCCACAGAATGTCAGATCCTCTGCCGGCCTCATTCGCCTCGTTCTCTGTAACCTTTCCGCAGGAAAGATGTGTGCGTTGCATTTCAATACCGCAGCATTTCCTTTGCTTTTAGAGGAATCTGAAGATCTTGTCTATCAGTAGCGGCAGAATTTTCATTAGAGTTCCTCCTCCTATTAAACTGCGTAGAGGGAATACTCACTACAGATGTCATATCCTCTTATTACGATGGGAGAAACATTTCTATCTGCTTAATACTACTGACGTGTGATAGCCTAAAGCATGCGTGAATTATTCTTCCTCGGTGCATGCTTCTTAAACGCCTGCTGTCGGTGATGATGAGCAGCTATGAGGTTGAGTGAGTTGAATCTGCCTAATAATGTAGCATGTTCTCTGGAGCAGTGTAGCATCTGCAAATGCAAGTTAGCATATGTAACCCCTCCCCGTGGAACCAAATAAGGGTTTGTATTTGTAGGGTAACGGATTGATTTAGCACCTTGTACTTGAGAGTTCGACCTTTCCGAGACTTGTGCCAATTCTTGGTCAATTAAGAAGGGTTCCTATGTAATTTCATGAGAAACGATAACAGCTAAAAAGTCAGAAGGCTTAAAACGGCACTGTTTGTCCCATTAAGCTGAAATAACCAAAACGGCCCTCATTCTGTAGGTACTGTAGCTTACAGCTCTGTGGTTTTCTCATGTGTGCCTTTTCTCGCTTCTGTTCGCTGCAGAAAAGGGTGTGTTTACATTTAAGGACTGGGTTCAAATCCCACTCAGGACGCCAACTTTTTCTCCTTTTTTTTGGGGGGTGGGGGGAGGTAATAGGAATTCAGCAAAGTGGTGAACACAAAGAACAGATCATATTGAAATTGATATTCAGCTTATTGTTCGACATGAAATAAATTACAATATGTATTATTCTTCCCAAAACTGTGATTCTGATTCAGGTATGAAACTGTGTGGTGGTTCATTTCATCGAGTCTGAAATAATCATGGGACGTATCACAGATGAAGCATTTATGCACGGGCATTATTCTGACAACAATGGGATTCTGTACATTTGTAATAAAGGACAGTGTTGTTGTATTAAAGAATATTTCCAAGTAAACTACAACAAAAAAAACGTGTATTTTAACCCACGGCCAAGGCTTGTCCTCTTTCATTCTTTTTATAGAGATCAGCTATTTTTACTGGTGATTTTGTAGCCACAAAATGATTCTTCTTTAGAAAATGACAAAAAAAAAATGGTACTTCCAAAAATAGTAATAATAATAAGCACTTCCACAGTGATAGACTACGTGTTTTAGTCACTTTTGTAGCAGTGGTAGTATCCTTGCTGAGGTTTTATTTCAGTAGAGCAGGACAAGCTATGGCTGTGCGTGATTTGAGGTAACTTGGGAAATGAAGTGTGTAGTTGGTTTTGGATTGTGACAGTGTTTGTGTATCCTTGTACCTGTGCTCATTGATATCAGTGTTAAAAGAGAACAGTAATGTCTGTTTTGTGGAGGTATCGTTCATTTCAGTGTTATATATGGAAAAAAACATAAATAAAGTGTCAATAATGTGATCTCTCTGAGTATACACTTCCTACATGATGTGCTTGTTTTTTGCTTCTTAAAGACAAAAGTTTTGATACACAGGTTTTTCTCTAGCCACTGCATGATTACATCTGTTAATTCATCGATTTGATGACTAAAATGTGCAACAAATAAGGCTATGCAAACTTTTGACTTTTGTATTTTATTCCAAATATTTCTTCGTTAGCATCATGATAGTGCTACAGCTGTGATGAGAGATGTTTTACAGGCTTATAAATAAGTATTTTTATAGACTTAAAGCTGACCGACTGACAACACAACAGACAGGCGGAAGTGTGCTACCATTTGCAAATCCAAGCTTTCCACATTCTGACCTCTGCTGGAGACATGGGATACTTTTAGTAACTACGCTGAAAACTACAATATCTCAGCAATGCATAATGAGAATTCGAAACCCTCCGTCTGTACCGTAATACGACACTCGTTTTAGAAGTGGGATGAAATGATTTCTAATTATAGTCTCTGACAGATTAATGAAGGAAAGTGCTTTTAGGTGAAAATAATTTGCCACATCAGACGTTGCATCTACAGGTGCTTATAGAAATTGTGCTTTGAGTGCTAGCTAGGCTACTGACAATATTTTCTCAAATTATGGAGGATTTTGAACGCACGTTGTTCGTGCACGATGCACTTGAATTATCTTTTTGGTGAATGAATCGTTCTCGTAGCACACAGTGAACGCATTTCTTTTACTATTGTGTCCTACCTTCATGTAAAGGAGCATTTCACTGGTCGATGTCTGTTTTGCAGTCTGAACAGGATTCGGAGCGGTGAACGAGTCACGTCAACGTGACGAAATGACATACAACAAACGACAATCAACAGAAAAAAAAAGAATGCTACAGTGTATAGCCTATACTCTATCATGGTGAAAACGCTTATGATAGGCAGCTGCTACTCATAACATTTGTCAATTATATATACCAGAACAATTTTTGGTTCGTTCTGGGAAGGTTAGTTTTTGATTTACAAAAAGGAATTATTGATCAAACGTGACAGTAAAAACATTTCTAATGCTACGAAAGATTTCTATTTTAAATAGATCTTCTTTTACTGTATTTCATCAAATAAATAAAGCTTTTGGTGAGCACACGAGATTTCTTTCATACTAAAAAACACCACTCTATAGTTCTTCTTTTTTTTTTTTTAACCAAGACAATATTGAATCTGAATGTTTAATCTTTTTGGGTGAAAATATTCGAGTCACTGCGATCTCCACGAATGCATTTGACGTCGTCGTGCGTGTGACGTCACCGCGTCAGGTGGTTTCTGTTTACATCGCATCAATTTTTTCGCAGTCAAGTTAGGCGTTATTGTGGCCGGATCCAAATACATGACATACGCGTTAATGTAATCGATGGACATTGTTGGTTTGCACGAGACAACCGCCGAGGTCCGTAATCACACGGTAAGATGTAGACTGCGCGTCGAGAATGACTGAGTGCCAGTTGTGGCCGCGGAGACTCTTTTGTTTATGTCGGTGTTTGTGCATAGCTTCTCCTCGTGCACAGACAGACTGCAGTTAACTGATGTTAAAAAGCATAATACAGACGTGACCTACATATGACGGTTAATGAATTATAACAGTAACGTAAGATTTTGCTCGAATCCGTGTACAAGTTTCTCGCTGCTTTGTGCTTTATAGATTTCCCAGCGTCGTGTAACAGCGCGAGCGCGATCTGTTTGTTACTGTTTCGCTTAATATGATGTTCGGTTCCGAGTGTCACATGGCGCACGGTTGTTCGTTATAAATAGTTGACGGCTGCCATCACGACCTCAATAGTTCATCTGTTAGATTAAATGGTGGACTTTCACATAATGTGCTGATTTTACAGCATCATCATTTAAATGTATTTGCCTAACGTTAATAGAAGAGACCACCCCACCATTTTCACATTCGTGATATTTCAGTCTGCGGTGCTTTTGTTACCTACGTTGACCTGTATTAATAAGTCTAGTGGTTGACATGTCCTACTATAATCTTGTTGAAATCTACTATCTACATTAAACAAAACAATGCTGATTATTTTATAATTATTAAGCATGCATACCTTTTGAGCTCATATTTCACCAGCATATTTTACTCCTTAGCCTAATGAAACAATAGCATGAACATGATTTTATTGCTGGAGAATGGAGTAATGATGCTGAAAATCCAGCTTTGACATCACAGGAATAAATTCTATTTTAAAACATATTAAAATAGAAAAGTTAATTTAAATTGTAATAATATTTCACAATATCACTGATTCTACTGTAGCCTATATTTAATCAAATGTTTGCAGCCTTTGTAAGCATAAGACTTCTATCACAAATACTACCCCAACCATGTGTGTGTAGCCCATGTGGTGTGTGTGTGTAATGATTTTACATACAACTGTGTAAATTTAATCAATGACTTTTAGACCATTGAAATTTTACAAAACTTAATAGAAATGATGACTACTTACATCACCAAAAATATAGGCTCCACTTTCATTTATGCATTCATATAAATTAGGACCTAAATCTGTATTTTAAAGACGTGATGTGTCAGCTACCCATGTGCTTTGTGTCTGCTTGCCAAAACGACAAACAAATAATACTCTCTGCTCTAAATGGAGCCGCTGCCAACAGTTCGAGCCGGGACACAACATTGTGCCACTTTTTACTTGGCATTGCCTGACCTCTAAAAATAGAGTGCAAGTCTGGAGAAGTAGTTGAAGGCGAGTGCAAGTCTTCTTGTCAAGTTTGTTGACATGTCAGCTTAGCTCAGATATCTGACATGCTGTGGCTCATTAAAGATTTAGCTGTCTTAATTATCATTCTTTGCTTTCTTCCAACCTGCTAGACAACAGTGTTGGAGATGTCATTTATGACTAAAACATGCTCTTAAAACCACTACAACAGTTTCATTATCATACATCATAATATGTGTATGTTGTTCGATGTTTGTTATTTGATATACCAATGTATAATATCTGTTTTTTTTATAAATATTATAAAGCTCATTTCGTAAATTGGCGTTCTGCCATTTTAGTTCAACTGTTTTAAAGGGATAGGCTA